CAGGACGCGAGAGGGCATCCGATTGATGAGATATGAGGCAGTCAAGACAGCCTCCCCCCACATGTATTTAGGGACATGCATTGTAAACAAGAGGGCTCTAGCAACTTCAATGAGATGTCTATTTTTTCTTTCAGCCACCCCATTTTGTCGAGGGGTGTTAGGACAAGAACTTTGATGGATAATACCTTGCTTGGTTAGGTAATCACCAAGAACAGAATTAAAATATTCAGTACCGTTGTCGCAGGATTTGGATAGAGGTCTGGAAGTGAGTTTGTACCATAGCATGAAAAAATTTAAAAGTGGCTGCAGCTTCAGACTTATCCTTTAGAAGATATACCCAGCATACTCTAGAATGATCATCAATGAAGGTAATAAACCAACGAGTTACAGATATATTTTTTTCACGAGCTGGGCCCCAAATATCACTATGAATCAATGTAAATGGAGACGAAACATGATAATCTCTGGGGAAATAAGAAACACGAGAGTGTTTTGCAAACTGACAATCATTACAAAAAAAGGAACTTGGTTTTTTATTGATAAATAAGTTTGGAAACAGCTTTTGAAGATAAAAGAAATTTGGGTGTCCTAAACGACGATGTCACAACAAAACATCATTACAATCGTCTGATAAACATAAAGAGTGATTTGCAAAAAATCTCTTTTCATGAGAATCTTCTTCAAAATAGTAAAGCCCTTCTTCCTCTCTAGCACTGCCAATCATCAGCCCTGAATCCTGTTCCTGAAAACACAGGTTTTGGCAGAGAATTTAGCAACACAATGCAATTCAGAGGAAAGTTTACTAATAGAGATAAGGTTACAAGTAAGAGAAGGGACATGAAGGACAGAATTCAGAGTAATAAGTTCAGAGAGCTTAATGGATCCTTTTCCCGCAATATTAGAGAAACTACCATCAGCAGTCCTTATTCGTGACTGGTGATAATAAGGGGTATAAGAACAAAACAGGGATGCATTACCTGTCATATGATCAGAAGCTCCCGAATCAAGAATCCAACGACTACTATGATCAACATGGAATGCCATACCTTGTTGAGCAACATGACTAGTTGCCTCAGCAGATTGAGACATCACCTTCTGAAATTGCTCATCTGAGCTTTAGGGATGAATACACCATCGGAATTTTGAGAGGCACAAGACTCCTCACCCTTAACATCAGAAGAGATTTGATAAGCACGACTCTTGTTCATCCCCTTTGTTTTCCAGTTTGGTGGTTTTCCATGAATTTCTCAACATTTTTCGCGAGTGTACCACTCTTATTGCAATAAGAACACCATCGGTCAGAACGTTTTGCATCACTAGGGGGACGAGGAGTATGTTTTGCTACTAAGGCATATACATCGGAGGATTTAGAGTTCTTGTCTCCAACATTACCTTTCGGCGAAGTTCCTCCCGTCGTACCATAGAAAACGCAGCTGCAATAGAAGGTAACGGGTTCTGACCCAATATCCTTCCACGAACATCATCAAGATCACGATTAAGGCCAACAAGAAAATCATAGAGACGTCTTTTCTCTAAGTAACTTTTAAACCTTGCATTAGCTTCTAAACCTTGAAGATCTGCTGCATCATAAAGATCCAACTCCTGCCACAGAGTTTTTAAAGCAAGAAAGTATTCAGTCACAGACATCCCCTCTTGATGTAACTCTCTTACCTTGGTGCTGAGTTCAAAAGCCTGAGAAGCATTGCCCAGGTCAGAATAATATTCTTGAACGGCATCCCAAATTTCCTGAGCCGTATCAAGAAACAAATAAGTTTGACTGATATCAGGAGCCATGGAGTTAGTCAACCAGGTCATGACCAAGGCATTTTCAGTCATCCATTTATCATAATCAGGTTCATCAGCTTCGGGTTTTTCCTTTTTTCCATCAAGATACCCCATTTTCCCTTTTGCTTGGATAAACAGCTTGACAGATTGATGCCATTGCACATAATTCTTACCGTTTAAACGGTGGTTAGTAATTTGTATAGCTGGGTTGTCTCCGGAAGACGAAGAACAGGGAAGAGGAGAGACACCGGAAACATTACCGGATGATTTTTCAGAATGTTTATTCTCAGCCTCAATATTTTCAACTTCCATCGTTCAAAATAAAAAAAAAAAGTAAAAAAAGGAACTCCAATCGTTCAGAAACACTATTCCGGAAAGTCACGAAGAGGAACCAACTGGACCCAGCAAGAAGAGTGCTCCAATCGTGATTTAAACCCCCAGAATAGGAAGAGGAAGGCCAGGAGAGCCGTTCTGTGAAAGCCGCGTGACAAACGGAGGCCGGTACGTGGCTCACACGCGCCGGAAAGGCAGTTCTGCAGTGGCGGCGCGTGGCTGACTTTCCGACGACGGGGCTGACGTAGGTCGACTCGGAAATGGCTTCTGAGTCCAATGGTGGCCTTGGTTTCGTGATTGGAGGGGTCCAGATATGGTTTCTGAGTTATTTTAACAAACAGTGAAAAAATGGAAAACAAAAAGAAACGTGGAGGTTTACAACAAGATAACCTGCTCTTGATACCATGATGAAATATAAGACTGAAATGTATTTTTCATATATTGATTGACACCCAAAGGGATCTTTATATACAGATTACAAGGTAGTTAAGGAGTTGAAGTAATAAATAAAATACACAGTAACCGAAGAGGCATCACACTACTCAAAGGGACTAGTAGCTAGAAACAAGTAAAAAAAACTCTAGAATATTCTACACAATTCAATATTTTGGCTCTTTGAATCCACCTTGTAGTTGTTCCCGTTAATAGAAACTAGGGCATCTTCAGGAGGATTTGGCATTTGAGGCAACCTATTTTTAGTGCCAGTATCCATATCCATGCAAGTAGAATTGACTTTTTGTATGACATTGGGGCCTCCACCTCCTTTTCTACCTTTCTTCTCATTACCCCTGTTCCTCCTGACAGCATCAGTTCCCACACTCTTGGGGTTTGTATTCCTACCTCCTGTCTTATTCTCCAAAGTCAACTGTATGATATCAATGATCTTTTTTGATGCCATATTTCCTTTTTGTATCTCCTAAGCAAGCTTCTTCATATCAGGGCATATTTGCAGACCTTTATTCCTCGTAAGTGTCCCACTGTTCGATGCAGCAGACTTCAGAGAATTCTTTTGACCGTTGGTCCTCCTCGGTGCTACACGAACCACCGTGGCCTGAGCTTTCATCGCTGAATGCTCCGTCGTGGCTTGAGCTTTCATAGTAGCTTTCGAAACCACCTGGCTCTCTGGGACAAGCTTCGTCTTCCTTCCTTTCGCTGGTCTATGGACCACCATCCATCCTCCAAAGGCTTCTTCCTCTTGCTTCTCCTGTTTTGCAGGTTGTCCGTTTCTTGCCTTCCTAGCATACTGCTCCACTACTTCTTCCCGTTCATTGAGCTCAAAAGAACATCTACTACCTCCATTGCATTGGTCCTATTGGCCACAAGCAAAACACACCAAGTGAAGGCCTTCATAGGTTACTGGAAAACCCCTATCTCTTATCTTAAACTTGGAAACCAAGCTTTTGCGGAGATTAACTTCAATACAAATCCTCGCTAACCTAGCTTTTCCAGTAATCTCACTCCCTCCTTCTACTTTTCTAATGGAGTTACGGTTCACTCTCAGAGGTCTCCCAAATAGATTCCCTATCCTCCATAAGTGATGAGATGGATAGAGTTCAATAGGTAATCCAGGTATATGAATCCACAGTCATTTTCTTAACAGACTCATCATATGGATCAAAAAGTGATCTCCACCTTTGAACCACTACATAATGGTCAGCTACAATTCAAGGCCCCTCATGGAGCACATGATTGTAGTCTTTTTGGTCATGAAATTTGAGAAGAATGTAACCATTATCTAACTCAATAATTTCATACGTTCCCTAAAGGTTCCATCTCATGAAAAGACGACACAACAACAATATGGAGCTAATCTTTTTGCCTAACAGTTTGATAATGAGAAAGGAGCCCCATCTTACAATCCTCCTTGTGGTCCTCTTTTGAGAACTGATAGGTTGGGCACAAAGGGTCCGACTCTTCCTCAGTATTCCCTTTTTCCGCTTTATCCTCTTCTTCCTCTTCCCTTCTTTGAATAGCTTTCCAATCTTCTTCCTCACTGTCTGAGTCATTCCCATTCCCGTTCAGGTCTAGAAATTTGTCCTTGTATGAGATAGTCTTTCTCCTTGTGCCCACAACTGCTCTTTTGAAATCCAGTTTAGGAAACTGAGTCTCGGGAACAAGTGTTTCATCCGTATCGGGAATTTTTTCTTGCATGGATTCACCCATTGTATCATCCTCCACTTCTGTACCTTTCTGTTTCTTAATGCTACGTTCCCTCAGGTCTTCCTCCTCCGAAGGAGGGCCATCGCCAGACCTCTCTCGTCTCTCCTTGTTAAGCTCCATGTGAAGTACTCAAATCCATCGATCAGTTAAGCATAGAATTTAGGACACATCCGACGTTAAAGTGGGAAAGAGAAAGTTAAAAGAAAGTAGGCTTTGACCTTCAAACACATAATGGTAAAAATATTTGAATCAGGCTATATCTCTGAATTAAGGGTAAGGAACCATTATTTTATAGCATAATGCTAGTTTAACGTGACTTTTCATCACATAACCTCATGCTCAGACTTTTAGCAGAATATGTTTTTTGTGGAGAGAGAGAAAAACGGTTTTACACAAAACACGTGCATTTCTAACTCTTCGTGTGCCATTTCACAAAATAGTTTTGTGTTTTAGCATTTCCCTTCTATATCTCCATCTCTCTCTCAGTCTCTCTTCTTCCAAACACTTATTTTCTCTCTCTATTTTTTCAACAGAAACAAACAAATGAATAAGGACAAAAAGAAAGAAAAACAAAAGTAATCAAAACAAAAATAAGAGACTTTAGCTAGAAGATCGGTGTTGCTGGGGGAAGGGAGAATAAAAAAGCAAATTAGTGTCCTGAAAAACCCAAAGTGTAATGCATGAATACAATGGACAAAAATGATTCCAGAAAGAAGACTAACCTCTGCAAGAAAGAAAATGCTAGCCCTGAAATGATAATTCCATTATGATATCCAAGATCAACTGCGATTTCCTGGGGCAACCATGACCTAAAGAGCAATTCTTCCACCAGTGCAATAGCACTTGCCATTACAATTCCTTGAACAACTATCAGACCCATTTTTCCATACACTTTTAGCCAAGTCAAAGCATCTAAAGAAGGCGGATTACAAGGCCAAGAGAAACTTGCACAACCAAGAAATGCATTCATAGCATGGATTGAAAAAATGAAGATGACTCCACCAACCAAGCCTTTCAAAAATTCAAATAGCTGCAACAAGGATCCAAAATTAGCTTCTCTTTCATGAATCAAGTAGACAAGTAGTGCCAGTGAATAATATATTAAATAAAATGTATATTCTCCTAGAGCTCCCTCATCCATCCCAAAACAAAAATTGATGTTAAAAAAATGTGCCAAATTTGCCTTGATACGTATTGGAGAAAGGAAGTCCAAAGCATTAATTCTAACCACAGACAAGCAAACTAATAGCAAGGTATCACGTGCATGCTAAGTAAATTCTAAAGTCAATGATAGTACAGTTTGATTGAAGATAAGAAAGCTACAATTGGTATTTATAGCATGGAAGAAGGTTGTTTAATAGTCTCTTATACAATTTGTTCCTCACCTTTGTTGTCTTTTCTTCTTTTCCAACTCAAAGTATAATGTAAATACAACTACTAAAATTTCTGGTGGTGTGCATTAACAATTCATTTCATCAAAATTAGAGCAGATGCAGAATCACTATATTTGTTCCAATGGGGATTATCTAATTGATGTTAGTCAAGCTATCAAACACGAACCACAGGAAATGTATATGCTCGAATGGATGGGATTCTTGTATTCCTTTCAAACAGTTTCTCAAACATACCTAAATAGCAAAGACTACATTTTAAAAATAAATAACCCATATTGTGAGCCTGAAAATTATTTATAATACTCTAGCACACCCTTCTATGCAGATGCCTAGTGGCTTTGATACGTGGCAAAATGTACAGATTTATAAGTACCTTGTGCTGAAATGAACACTTTTCTATGCTGAAATTTTATATTATAAGACGAGGCAATAGGGGTCGATCTCTATTCCATTGGAGAACTAGGCTTTAACACTGATGTAGGATAAAAGGCCTAGGATAAAACCGTAGCACTCAAAATATAGAGAGTAGAATTGGTGCTTAAAACAGATCTCAAACCCAGCCAAAAGAAGGATGGTTTTCCTTCTAGTTAACAACTAGGGAAATAAAAGAAATCATCTATCATTAACAAGATTGATCATCCATGCTACAGCCTTCATATCCCTTTATATAGGATGAGAGACCATAATCTAAAACAAATTTTAGCCCTTAGAATAAGTCTAATCCTAGTTGTGTAAGGTACTTAACAACAGACATAAGTATATAATAACAGCAAAAGTTCCAGTACTACAGTATTGTGAACACCACCCATACTGCAGTAGCATAGCCCAATATATGGTTTGTCTTAGATCAACTCTCCCATAAGCCTACGCTACTGAGGAGAGGCACATGAATGGTTTTATTATATCTCTTACATGGTTATATAGAATTGAACTGCTCCCTTTTTCTGCAAACAAATACCATGCCACTCAAATAACCACTAGACCTAAAAGCTTCAGTAATTGTCCCAAGGGGGGTGAGGGGAGTGGAGAAAACACTTGTCTGAAGGCATGAGAACCATTTACGTTACACTACCAATCGTTACATCCTGAAGATGAAGATGTAGTTATTCCAAATGTAACAAGTGTTTCCTCCCGTCCCCTCACCCCAAGACCCCCAAAAAGATTTTTTTTTTTTTTATCACATTATTGATTCTTCATTTTCATTCCCTATGTATTAGTAGATATTATCCATGATAATGAATTAATTATTAATGTAACTTCAATTTTTAATATGGACATTTCAAAAACAGAAGATAAAAACATCATAGTGACTACTTCAAAGAAATATACAGATGTTCTCCAATATATTATACTGAAACTACTCCCAGACTTGTGCGTTGGTTTTTTTCTCAAACCTTTACCTTCCGCGATGATGTCAGGTCCAGCCCATACTGCTCAAATGCATTTTCATATCCACGGATTCTTTTCCCCCATAACATAACAAGTATCATTATAGCAGTGTACAGGCCAATAATGCAAGCAAACTCAGCTATTTTGGAAGGAGTCTTTGCTGTCCAGCTCTGAACAATTGTTGGAAGCAATGGAATAGCAGTCGGAGACCATAGAACAAGGACCATGCCAACAAACCCAAAAATCCTAGAGGAGAAAAAATAGTGAAGCTTGAGAGTTATGTAAAGATATAAATTCATAATCTCAGGCATTAAGCACAAATAGTAAAACCTAGGGAAGATATACATTCGCACTCAAGTTCATACATGGGAAAGACTAAATTGGATATTTATAAAAGGAATATCTAGAGATTAATAAATTCGGGCATACATTTCAGGATCACACAGTCATTACATAGCCGAGTTCCAGCAATAGGCTATTACTATTTATTCATTTCTACATCCTTAAAGCTACGCTGAAGTCAACATGTGTATACTTTTCAAGTTTTGTTCATACAAGCAATTTACTGAAAGGGTTTGATTATGATGCACAAATAGATAACTCAAAATTAACCCCCAAAAGATGGGTAATGACCATCATTCCTCAACCTTGATTATTATTTGAGAAGACACCGTATCTCTATTTGCTGCATCATCTATGAACTTGATATTATGTTACCTGCCAGAGCCATGCGCCCAGTTTTTTTTTTTTTTGGTTGTGGGGGTTGGGTGGGTAAAAGCAGCAATGCTTATAAAAAAGAAGCAAGGTTGCAGTTTACTGTTTGAGTAGTCTAATAGTTATAAACTGGATCCTATATCCTATCTGTGAATCTATAGGAGGAAGCACGGATATCATTCACACCTCAGATCACAATCATGACAGCTTTTTTCTCTATATTGTGCAGCTCAACAAGGCCCAAGTAAAGCATTTTAAAGCTGGTGAATATTTTTTTGCAGTTTTCCTTCACATCAATCATTCTGATTATCGTGGAGGACTACACTTCCCTCAAACCAAGGATGAAATGAGAATAAACTAACAAATGGACAACAATTTTGGTGATAAAACTTTCTAAATTGGGAACATGCGGCTTTGGCAATAGCAGAATCTAGTTATGTGATAGACTTAATGAATATGACAAAGAATATTATCTTCAGATGTGTATTAGGATCACTCTCAATAAAGTCTCTACATAAAATTTGTATCGAAAAAAAAAAAAGTCTCGACAACCTTTCATTTTAATTAATGAGAAGTCAGTAGATTTTCGAAATTATTGCTTTTCAAAATTAATATTATTGGCTCTCAACTAAAACTAACAGTTGGTTATGATATATTGCGGCTAAATCATCGAAGTTTCTAGTTTCTACCAGGTAATTCCAAAATGGAGAGGCCAGAACAAGCAGCACAAACAGGAAAACATTGAACGGGATCGACATTCACCAGTTCATGTTACCTTTGAAACAATGGGCGTTCAGCAATACGCAAGAATGAGATAAGCCTGCCTGTCAAACTCATTGCACCACGGATACCACCCCATAGCAAAGCCATCTTTCCAACTAGCCTCAACAAGCCACCTCTCTGTCCTAAATCCGCTAGCATTGCAACTAGTCTGTTCATGAAGGGAACTAGTGTCAAATTATTAGAAAAAAGATAAACCAGTGGAGCGCTTGCATGTTGCTAAAATGTGTGCTCTGACCTTTCTTGATCCACTTCACCATCTTCTTTAGTAGGTACAACTGGACTAGCAACTGACATGGCTTTCTCAGCAAGGCTTGTGACTGTGTTTATCTGGTTCTTCTCAGAGACTTCCTCAAGCTCTTTGGGCTCCTTTTTATGGTGATCTTTCATTTTAAAAAATGTGGATGAGCTCTCAGTAGTTTCAGTTCCTCGTTGCAGATCCTGGAACAGAGAAATTCATTATCATGCTTTTATTCCCGCAACTGGCAGTTTAATTCTGAAGTAGTAAACTAGTATTCGTCCCATCTGCTTCACCACTTTCTATTCTCTTCTCATTTGTGGGATACATGCAACTTCATTCAGTTGAATATCAAGTTCATTCTTTCAAGTTTTAATAATTGATTGAGAAAAATCATAATTGAGAACAACTTTAGCAGAAAGAAAATTGAGTACATGAAAAGGACATAAAAGAAACAATGGATGATTGAGAGAAATATATAAGGAACTAGACATGTAACGGTAATTTTTTAAATCAGTTTTTCTGAAGAAATTGAGTGGACACTGACATACCTCAGTGCTGTACCTATATCTAGAAAGACAGTTAAGCAAACCAAGTGATGAAATAAAACACTTGATCCTTATCTGCCCAGAGGTTTAAAGTACAAGTCAAGAACAATGAAAGCATATGAAGAGGTTGAACTAATACCTTCTGTGGCATGAGAAGAGCAGAAGCCCCAAGAGCAGCTGTAAAAGCACCTACCATGACAGTATTTTTGCTTGCATCTTCTGATTCACTTTCTACCACTTCTATTGTGATGGGATGGTCCAAACTAGTTTTCTCTTCAGGTACTCGGACTATCTCTGTTACACCATCAATACCATAATTGTTTTTGTTAGGCTTTTCCCCATCAACATGGCTCAGAGATCTTCTTTGGCTATTATCTTGAAGTGTAGCTACATTAAAATATGTCCTCAAGGCAGCTAAGATGGATCCAACAATAACACCAAGAGGCATCACTTTTCTCAGGCAGCTTGTTTGCTGAACTGAGGATGAAATTACCCTAATGATATGCTCCCCGTCGAGAGTACTAACTTTTTCTATAGCACCCTTAACATTATGGCCTTGACTTCCAGTGTATAATTGTTGCACCTTGCTATGTACCACAGCCAGTGAAATTGCATTTGCCACATGTTCCAGATCTCCTGCAAGCTTTGATTTCATTTCTATCATTTCTGCAGCATTCAGCTTGCGACCAACTTCCATCTTTAAAGAATCTAATACTCTCTTTTTGACAAATTTGATCAATTCCTCTTTTTCAATAGCATCAATCGTTCTGTTCTCAGAGTCTGTAGTAATGAACTCTTTAACAGGTTCTTGTTGCTTTTCAGTATCTAATATTACATATTGTGGTTCAATATATTGCTCTGCATTAGAAGATTTTGCAGATGAGCAGGCCTTCATCTTGTGCCCAGCCTCTTCAGAAGTTTCAGTATTCGCAGAATCAATTTCCATGTTTTGTGGTTGTTCAAAGAGTTTCCATTGACCTTCTTCTGGGAAATAGTCAAGCAATAATTCAGTTGTTGTGTCTACATCGAGTGATTTGGTAGGAATATTTGAAACAAGATATTTACCGAGGTATTCATTGCAAGGAAAGTCCCCATATGAACCTGCAGCTATGAACTCTGGCATCCTATTTACTTGTCTGTGTCCATCCGGTTTATCAAGAAGGAATCTTTTGTCAATCAGTTGACTATTCGTATTACTTTCCTTCTTAAATTGGTCGTCATTAGAGTTACAATTTTGAGAATTGAATGCACCACTCCCACCAATTGTGCTGAGGCTTTGAGTTAGTTGTTCCTCTGTATGACAAGAATCGCTCTTCAAGTACATGCCATTATGGTGACAATCTACAGAAGCATCACCAGATCCGTTGGAATCCTTGATTTGGCTATTATTACTTTTTTGCTTTTCTCCTAACTTGTGTTCAACATCTTTTTCATCCGTGACTTCATCTTCATTTTCTGAGCTCTGCTCGAGCTGAGAAAGCATATTTTCTATCACACCAAAAACACTATTTACAGCCACTTGGGTTGAATCATCCATCCCTGTTAAGGCATCCAATGCTTTAGAAACACTGAAGGTAGAGGCACTAGAATCTGAATTTGTTGCATTTGTTTGGTGTGAAATATGCTGCATATTCTTGTTATCTTTCTTCTCATTATCATTACCTTCCCTTTCCATTGTTTGGTGCTCAAAGAACATAGAAGGTGAAGATGATTCTTCTTTTGCATCAGTTGATGTTGTTTTACTTTGATTAGTAGAGAAATCCTGAATATTCTGTTCAACCTTCTGGATATTATTTTCCTCCTTCGTGTCTGTTTGAGCTATTTCGCTGTTTTCGCTCTTCTGTTCAGCAACAGCTGCTGCCTCAAAGCCACCTGCACCATCAGTATGGCTGGGAATATATGGTTTGGCTGTTTCCAATCCCTTCTCGCTATGATCAATATCATGGACAGCTTTTTCTTTTAATTCCTCATTTGTGTCATTATTGTCTCTAGACTCACCAGTTTCCTTCCTGAAAGAACCAGAACCACCACTTTCATCGCTTGATTGTTGAGGTTGGGTTATATTTGTAGAATTTGGTGATTTCTCTACGGGAAGAACATCTGTTTCTGTTCCTTCAGTAGGCTCACCCATTCTATTTGGAGCATCATCAGAGCCATCTCTTGAACTACTAGTCTTTTTCATCTGATTCAAAGAGGACTGATCTTCAAACATAACTTCTGCATCTGATACTCGGAATTTTTCTTGGTTCTTTTGCCCTGATAATGATTCAGGAGCCTGAGAAATGCTAAGGACCCTATCAAACTTCAAGTTAGAGCCTCGTGCATGCAAAATTCCAGTCACAGCATCTGTTAACTTTCCACGAACATCTTCTGGAACAGCAGCTTGTAAAGCATTCATTAGTGTCTCTCCCTGACCCACAGCAGATAATACCTGGAAATTTGTTACGAATGTCACTGCAATTAAAAGATTCTAAAACTAAGATGAAATTTAGATAAACAATTACAAAATTTACGTGATACTAAACATAGAAAACAGAAAAGCAAGTGACCCCATGCCAAACATTTGAGGATAAACAAAGACAACTCATTTTGACAAAAAGTTCAGTTAACAAGAAATCAAGTTTTTAACATTCTCTCAACAACATGAAACACATACACACACACACACATAGTTGAAAACAATAAATGAGAAGCTATCAACTTGTAAATAGAAGAAGAGAACTTATTCCAGTTGATTCTGAAAAACTCAACAATATTTTAGATTTAGAAAAGAATAAAAAATAAAATGAAAAATAAACAGTGAGGAAAGAACATATGTAACATTCTCCTAGAATAGCAGTATGCCTCAGTTTTTAGTAAATGATTGATAAACACCAAGAAACAAATTAACCACGTTATATAAAACTGTCTCCAAAAGGAGGCGAACAGGAGCAGGGGTAAAGCTGTTCTTTCATGACTGAAAGGTCATGGGTTCGAATCCAGGAAACAACATTTTTGCAATTATGCAAGGGTAAAGCTGCGTACAAGGATTGCCTCCACCCCACACTCACTAGTCGGGTTTAACGGGGAGTGATTTTTTTATTTTTTATATCTCCATTATCTGAAAAAGAACCGCTGAGCATAAGATACTTTGAATAAGTTTCTTCGTTGCCTTAAAACCTTTATCTGTTAGGTTACGTCTTAGATAAGCTCTGCTTCTTAACCCAGTTATTTCCTTATGCCATTTCCTATAATATTTACAGGTTTTAAAATCCCACAAAAAAAAAGTAGTAGATACATAATTAAAACCAAAAGGTAGAGTTCAAGTTAAAACATTTCAATGTAAATAACAACAGAATACCATACTAAAAAAAAATAAGAATACTTGAGAAACTGACATTAAAAGAAGACTCATGGCAAATTCCCCAATATTTGCTCGGAGTACACAAAATGAACATGAAGGATCACAAGTAAAATCTAAATGATATAAATCTTTCATATTGTTAGAGATGTAATTTAAAATCATTCATATGTCTTCACCAAACAGCTTAAACTTTTAGGGTAATTGGTTCATGATATCTGTAAAGAACCAATTCAACCCAAAAGCTTAAGATGTTGGGTGAGGCTACATTAATGGTTTTATATAACTCTAACACGCCCCCTCACATGAGAGCTCATTGGGCTTGAAGGGTGGATAATGCACAGGCCCACCTACCTGTGCTAAGAAACTCCACAATACTGAATTAATTATTAATTAAATTGGGGGCGGTGAGGATCGAACCCGTGACATGAGGCTTTGATACCATGTAAAGAACCAATTCAACCCAAAAGCTTAAGCTGTTGGGTAAGGCTACATTAATGGTTTTATATAACTCTAACAATATCAAAGTCAATAGTTTGGTTGGGCTGAGTAATTAGAGATGATAGTTGGTGCTAGGGTTTGTGCCTAACTAATGTTGTGGAGCATTGGCCAAGACTTCCTCTTGATTAGTAATCTCATGAATACTCAAAAAAGTTCCCTCTTGAGGGGGAGCATACTGGGACTCAAACTTAGGGAGAGAATCTTATAAATTCAAATATGAGTGATGAAATCCCATAGTGGTTAAAAATGGGTAAAGTAAGGACGATATAAGTGAAAATATCCATAAACTTATTGCCTTAACCTACAAACTCATTGCCGTAAGGTTTTGGTCAAGATATGGTATTAAACTCAATATTGTGGTTTGTCACATGGCCTATTGATGAAGACCTCCCCTCAATGACTACTTAACAAGTGGTATCAGAGTGGGTTTTAACCAATCTCTCCCAATGAAACCCCAGACCCTATTGCACCCATTGGCCAACCGCAAATCTCCCAGAGCCAAGCATGGATGTCAAAAGAAGATTTCCTTCTATTGCAATTCAATTTAAAAAAGAAATAAAAACAAATACATGCTAGACTTGTAGTCCTCACACCCCCTGCCCCATATGCACCTCATCGAGGTCAAACATGCAATTCTCCATGTATGATTAAATTAATGTAAGTAAGGCAAAATAAGTGCTCAAAATAAGTGCTCTACCTTTTTCTTCTTCTCTTCTGTTAGAGTACCAGGCATGGTAACATCAAGCATATTTATTACCACTTGTGCTGTCTGTAGGACTTGACCATGATCACTATCTACTGAGGCATCGTTCTCCTGTTCAATCAAATCTGCGTCTGTGGAGCTAGTCTGCTGTAACAGACCATTTTTGACCTGTAAGCTCATATCTTCCTGCTCAAAGTTCCTTGGTAGATCTTCTTGGGACCTAAAGTGGAGGCTAGCATCATTCTTACTTTTATCAAGCAAATATTTAGTAGGACCGATAAAGTATCCATTTGCATCTGACCGAGTAGAATCCAACAATTTGCTGACTTTAGCATTCTTATCAGACCTTACTTCCTCTACTACAGCTAATCCTTTAGAAGGATTTATGCTAACATCTATATCTGTCAGAAGAGGATGACGGCCCTTTAAGAGTCCCAGCTCCACTGCTGCGAGCCACTGCATATATAACACAGATCATAATATCAATTGCAAGAATAGACTCAAAATCCTCACAAATTCAACAAAGGGAAAAAATTATATTATTATAATACAATTTTCCACACATATCAAGAGAACTGATAAACCTTGTGAGAATATAGGTTTTGCATAATATACCCCTAGATCTAGCTGAAAAAGATGTGAAGCAAATTCCCATTAATAAAAAAATTAAGGAGTCTAACATCATGATAATTATGAGGACTTTTATAGTTTTGTTGTTTGTTATTTTAAATTTGTGTTTATGTTGTTTTAGTAAAATAAGAAACTAAAAATATATTTAAAATCAATATTTTCAAAACTGAACTAGGCATGGAACAGGTAAAGGAAGATATTTTATGTACATAATACATTTATATGAAAGTTTTTCTTGTTGCATGAGAAACTTTTTATCTTCAGCTCATAAATCGAAAATTGTGTTGCTTCTTTTTAAAAAAAAAATGATAGGTCCCACTTTTTTTGTTTTAACAGGTGACAAAACTTTTCTCCTGTGACAGGAGAAAAGGTGCCCCATATAAATATATAAAAATGTTAAAAAATAAAACATTAATATGTTAAGTATGTTATAAAATCATGTAAAAAATATTGAGAGGTTATTGATAGACCCAATGGAAAGAAAGCAGTAGGGTGCAGATGGGTTTATGCCCTAAAGTATAATTCTGATAGCACTCTTGAGAGATACAAGGCTCGATTAGTCGCCAAGGGTTACACTCAGACCTATGGCATTGATTATGAAGAAACCTTTGCTCCAGTTGCAAAGATGAATACGGTGAGAGTCTTGTTATCCCTTGCTGCTCATTACAATTGGGATATAAATCAATTTGAAGTGAAGAATGCTTTCCTTAATGGTGAGTTAGAAGAAGAAGTCTACATGGAAATCCCTCCTGGTTTTGATTCTGTGAATGGAGAAAATAAAGTTTGTAGATTAAAAAAGGCCTTGTATGGATTGAAGCAGTCACCTCGTGCCTGGTTTGGAAGATTTACTAAAGTTATGATGACTTTAGGATACAAACAAAGTCAAGGAGATCACACTCTTTTCTTTAAGCACTCCCAAGATGGGAAGCTCATTGTGCTCCTTGTATATGTTGATGATATTATTATCACAGGTGATGATTTTGTGGAGAGACATATTCTGCAAACAAGACTAGCATCTGAGTTTGAAATTAAAGACCTTGGAAAATTGAGATATTTCCTAGGGATAGAAGTAGCTCATTCAAAAAAAGGAATTTTTATCAGCCAGAGGAAATATGTTCTTAATCTTCTCAAAGAAGCAGGAAAGCTTGGGTGTAAATCCTCTAATACTCCTATTGAGCAGAATCACAAGATAGGCTATGAAGAGGAGGACAATATCAACGGCTAGTTGGGAAATTGATATATCTGGCTCATACTAGACCAGACCTAGCTTATGCTGTTAGTGTTGTCAGTCAATTTATGCACAATCCAAAGGAGAAACACATGCAGGCAGTGGAGAGAATTCTTCAGTATCTTAAAGCTACTCCTGGTAAAGGATTATTATTCCGACGTGATGGCCATCTCTCTTTAGAAGCCTACACTGATGCTGATTATGCTGGATCTGTGACTGACCGTCGTTCTACCACTGGTTATTGTATGTTTCTTTGTGGTAACTTGGTGACATGGAGAAGTAAGAAACAAGATGTGGTTGCCAGATCAAGTGCAGAAGCTGAATTTCGAGCTATGGCTCAAGTGTCGACCGCCATTTCATCAAAGAGAAACTTGATAGCGAGTTGATTACCACTCCATACATTCCTACTGGGCGTCAATTAGCTGATGTATTGACAAAGGGACTTTCTTCAGACAGATTTCAAGAGCTTACTAGCAAGCTGGGAATGATAAATATCTATTCATCAGCTTGAGGGGGAGTGTTGTAAATAATAATAAATAATTATTATTTAGTCATTTATTTGTTGTATTGGGCCAAGCCCATTAGGTCAAAATTAGGTCAAGTATTCTCTATAAATAGAGAACCCTTTGTACAGATTATTTACAATTCCATAATATATCAGAATACCTTTTTCAAGTGAATATATTCATATTATCAAATTTATAAGTATTAAACTGACTAGACTCTTTCTCGAATATATGGTACTTCCCCATCTAATCAGTAAAAGGGAAGAGGTAAAACTTCTTATTAGTCGCATATCAAATAAGTATAACAGGAAAAGTAAAATTCCATATAACAAATAGTAGCCCAAACATGGTTGCAATACATACTCCTATTTAACCCGAACTGGCAAGTTCATGAGGAGATGAGTTTTGGTTATAAATTGAGAACCAAAATATGCACTTCATTAACAAATTTATGAAAATTTTAAATTTTTATTTTTAAAAGGACTGGTTCAACTGGTCAAACTGTGACCAGTTCACATGGTTTGGGTGGTCTCCCGGTTTTTGAATTTATAGTTTTTAAGAGTTGATTGGACCAGCTATAAGACTGATTCTCGTTGCACAAGACTTCGTTATTCTATGTATGTTACCAGTAACTGGGTTAACAGTATAGAAAACTATTAGCCATTTAGTGCACGGAATTAGGATGGAATTAGGATAGGAATCGTAATTGGACCTCCTAATTCCAATTGAGTTCATTTCCATGGAATTGAAAAATAACCATTTCATGCTATTTTAATTCTCAATGCCGACATCCTCCAACCACCACTGTTACCAGCGTTGTTCAATCACTGCCATCATCGGCATCCTCTAGTCATAGCTGTCACTGGCCTCCTTCAATCATTGTTGTCGCCGGCATCCTTCAACTGTCAATCCTTCAACAGTCATTGTCAATTTCCTCCAATCACTGTAGTCACCACTCACTAGTGCCAAAGATCACCAATGTTGCCAATGTACTCTGATCACCATTGTTACAGATGTTCTCCAATAACTGTCATATCTGAACACTGTTGTTGCCAACATGCTTTGGCCATGTTGCAGCCAACGTGTTTTTTTTTTTTTGGGTACATAAGAAATTTTAAGTGGGATTAGCCATCGGTATCCCACTAGGATCAGGGAAGACCCCCAACATGTTTTTGGCATCCATGCCACTGAAGATGTAATTAGACAACACAAGGTCTATTGACAATTATATTTATAATAATTTAAACTTGTATTATTTATTAATTAAGGGGGAAGTTATACTTACTATCTTTTTTTCTTATTACTTATTATCAAATCTTAACTGTTGATTTCCATCAATTTAATAGTTATAATTCATTGAGTCACACTTATTAATTAATCATTAATTTTCAATAAATTATAAGCCTTAGATTAACGGAAATCAACGATTCAGATTTGGTAGTAAGAAAAAAAGATAATAAGTATAACATTTCCTATTAATGAAAATTTAATTATGTTTAGATATTCTTGACAAATTATTCAAACAATAGAATTCCAATCCAATTTAGAATTGAAAGTCTATACCATAATTCTTTTTTTTATTTGTTTCAAAGATTAAGATTAAGATTCATTGTCAATTCCATTTATGATAGAATTGGACTTGAAATTAGAATTCTAAATTGTAATTCCAATCCTGTCATCCAGACGAATCCTTACGGAAAAAGTCTTGTGAAATAAGTGAGGACGTTTCCACCCTAAAATTAAGGTCGATTATGTGGGGGATTGATTCAAGGTAACTGAAGCTTGATAGAGGACCGATTAACTGACAGAATATGCTTATAACATTCCTTCAGCATTTAGTATATGTAATAGTTCACACATTATGCTTTATCCTACAATCTTTTAAATTCTCTCTCTCTCTCTAACTCTTCCTAACCATTATTTTCAATATATTGTGCAATTATATTTCTTAAATATGGTTAATATATAAAACATAAATGTGTTTACAGTACATTAGCTTATAAATAAAATTTAGAGTAAATACCCATTTTAGTCCTTAACAAATTTTTTTTTTTTTTTATAACAAGTCCTTAACAAATTTTACGATATCCGTTTTAGTCCCTGGCAAATAAAAAGGCTTATTGTAGTCCCTAAAAAATTCAAAATGGACCCATTTAATTGAAATCATGGTCCCTCACAAATTCAAAAAAGACCCATATTAGTCCCTCAAAAGGACTAAAATGGATCCATTGTGAAATTTATTTGCTGAGGACCAAAAATGGTATTTACTCTAAAATTTAATGTGTTACTTCTAGCAGCGAGTAAGTCTGCCACATTTGGAGGCACTTTCCATGCAAACTGATGGTCAAGGGTTCAAATCCTCCGAAATTCAACATTTCTTTTGGTGAAACATGCTGTGCATTTGCATGGGGCCAAATTATCAATCGCTGAACCAGGTCATGAAAGTCACGCTAGATTATCAGTTTCTAATTAAACGGGCATTTTCTATAGACTAGACTGGTTCTAATAACTTAACCTGCAGCTGGTTTGATGGATTACTGGTCTAGCTGATCAGTCCAGTCTTGTTTTCAAAACCTTTAAATTGAATAAACATGGCCTTTACCCTAGTAAAGATATGGCTACTCTTTTCAGGACTAGAATTCCCAACTTGAAGAATGTCACATGAATAAGACAACATACTCAACCGTAATTAGATAGAGAGAGAGATAGTTACCTCAATTGTTAGAAGCTGGCACCATGATAAAGCAGACATGTCAGTATCAATAACACTAGATGGTAAACAAGAACAGAGAAGCAAGCTTGTGAAAGGATTTTCTGCAATCAGATTCCTTGGAACTGAGAATACCGGAACCATCCCATTATCACTCTGATAAAATTTACCACTGGTAAGACTTCTGTGCATTCACATGCATGCACAGGGGTACTAATACTTAACAAATAACAAATAACAAATAATACGAAAACTCCATTGTTTAATAAAACCAATGGTAGAACATTTATCCATGTAATACAGAGTTAAAACATGTCTGAACTGAGATTTATAGATTATTTATTATTTCTTAAGCACTACCAAATCCACAGTGAAGAGAAAGGGGGACGGGGAGAGGGAGAAGTAAGGCTGTTACTATATATAACTCAAATTGTTCACATTTTTGTGCAGACTATTCTCATTTAATTTGTATAGCTGTAAATCTCTGTATACTAATTAGCCAAGAAATCAATCTAAGATCTCTGAAAATTAGCCTAGAAATAAGTCTGAATTAATTTGTATAGCTGTCTTGGCTCTATCTCTGATCTTGGGTGTTCTCTAGTTTGAGCAATTTTCCGGATTTTGGTGGATACAAAACACACAAATTTCATAAAACTTCTCCAGTTTTATACTTCTTGTGATTGGAAAATTTCACTCAGCTGTAAAATAGCATTCATTACTTTGAAATGATTTGTAATAACCCAGAATTTTGTGTTAATTTATTAGAAAGTATTGTATAACTAGGGAATATCAGTTTCAATTGCTTGTCACTGGAAAAGGAGTTATGGGGACATTAGATGGTATTGTTCCAGCTACCATAGATACGCAATTGGCCCAATGGAAAGTCAAAGATGCTAGGATAATGTCTTGCAATATTGGGTCATGGGATCCTCAACCAGTTCTTAATTTACGCCCTCATAAAACTGCTAGAACAATTTTGGAATATTTGAAAAAGGTTTATAATCAAACGAATTCAGCTGAAAGATTTCAATTGGACTGTGAAATAGCAAATTACACTCAGGGAATCCTATCCATTCAAGGATATTTTTCTGGTTTTCAAAATTTATGGGCTGAATTTTTTTAAGTTGTTCCCGGTCTCCAAAGATTCTTTTTTCGATGTTTAGGCTGTTCTTGGCAATTAAAAACCGGACCTACCCGACCGGGTCGACCTGGAAACCGGTGAACCGATCATATAACTGGTCCGATTTTCATATTGGACCGGCCATGTTACAGAACCGGTGCGACCCGGCCGGTTTTCGTAAAAACCGATGACCCGGCTCGGTCTATAAAAAAAAAATCTAATTTATTTTCATAAATTAATGTCTTCTTTTTTTTTACTCTCAAACACAAATGATTTATTTTCTTTTGAAATATTTGAATGATTTGTAGCTTATTAACTTACATAGATTATGTACCTACAACACTAATATTATCTTGATTATGTAATATGCAGGAAATTTTGATTTGATTTATAGTTAGAGATGTCGTTTACTAGCCTGAAACACTAGTATCACAAATATTATATGTTTGATTGATCTTTTGTTAGACAATGATGTGTAATTTATTATTTTCATATTAAGATATTTGAAATTGGTATATTTTTTTACAAGTATTTAAGTATATTTATAGTTTTTTTAATATAAATTATAGATTTACATATACTTACCGGGTAATGCGGTTGAACCAGTAATCCACTGGTTGAACCAATGACCCGGTACCGCGACCGAGTCAATAACCGAGCCGGGTTTAATAACATTGGTTCTTGGGGTTAGCAAATGTGATAAGCTTTTAATGAAGCTGCGACCAGATTTTGAGAATATTTATCATCCTCCTCCGCCTTGCTTCGTGATGAACATTATCTTCTTATCCAAGTCACTCTTGAACAGGAAAAGTTGATTACAGCACCTACGGTTTTTTTGGCTCAAGGCAAAGGCAAAAGTAGGGATATGAGAAGGTTCAGTGTATCATTTACAAGAATTATGGTCACATTGCTACGAATTGTGCCAAGAGATTCTGCAATTACAGCAAAAAGCCAGGACACATCATCAAAAAGTATTCAATTCGCCCCCAAAATCATCAGACTATTGCTTTCAAAGCCACTATGGGCAATTATTCTACTGGTCAGATAATAGCTAGGATCTCAACGACTTCTGCAGTCAATAACAATGCTGAACCAACAGATCTTACAGCTGAAATGGTGCAACAAATGATCATTTCATCCTTCTCAGCTTTGGGGATTCAAGTTCAAGGTAATAATTACTCCTCTAAGTCTTGGCTTTTTGAATCATCAAGTTATATGAATAGTTCGGCAGATTTACTGAAAAGCTTGCCTCCATACAATGATTCAGCGAATATCCAGGTTGCTAACGGAAACACTACCAATTATATTTAGAAAACCGAAGTGCACACCCTATGGGATATCATCAATGAAATTCGACGAGAAGGTAACACGAAGGCATAGACCAAATCTGAATGCACGTGTCGTTAAAATAGACACCACCATCTACATTTTATAGAGAATTACAATTTATTTCTCTTTAATTAAGAAAAGATAACGAGGCAAAGAAAATGAACAAACCATGATGGGAGTGGAACCCAAAAGTAAATATTGCGAAACCAAATTAAATAACGAGGGTACTGATGCATGATAGAGATGTGTGAAATTTGGCCTTACAAATATGTACAGTCCTAGGAACTATGGAACAATTTGAATTAAAAATTGAATAACAAGAAAGATGCAGAGTATGAAATTACTCATAAAAAGAGGGACAAAGATTGCAAGTGCTGGTGGTGCAAAGCAAAATAAAATTATATTCCTCCGCTCCGTGAATCCTAAATGCTAAAGGCAAATGGAACTTACAAGTAAAAAAGTGATAACAAGAATACAGAGTGAAAGCAGTATTTTATTATTGTATTGCAGTGAAATTAAGAGCAAAACCAGAAATGAAAAAATAAATAAATAATAATAATAATAAAAAACAATTTTCAGCTTATACACTCCAATGCGATTTATTCGGTATCCATTTTTAATTCTTATTATATCAAGTTGGTAAAACGTGGATCAATTTTTTCATGATATGTAATGAAATTTCAAATATTATAGATGTTGAAGCGTGTCAGAGTGTCGGGGAGTGTCGGACACAACACTTCAAGTTTTTTGAAGTGTCGGTGCTACATAGCTTTACATAATATCAGAGCATCTGTGATCAAATGATCACAAGTTCAATCCTTATTGACCCCATTCTATGAATAAATAATTAAAATATTGCAGAGTTTCTTAGCATAGATAGGAGGGGTCTGGGCATTATCCACCCTTCAAGCCTAACGAGCTATTCTATGAAGAGGCGCGTTAGAGAAATATAATATAAAAACTATTATTGTAGTCTCACCTAACAGCTTCAACTTTTGGATTGAAATGTTTTTTTGCCATCCTGATCCCCTCTCTCTCACACACTTTTTTTTGTACAGATACAAGAACCTTGTAATTGTTCCACTATCTTAGCAGTCACGAAGCATTGAAATACAATTGCATTCTGTTGTGGAGAATCAGGAGTATACTACTTTGTCTCAAAACAATAGAGCTCTTAATAAATTAATATTTAGCAAAATGCACAGGATGCAATTAATCAAGTGGGAATTTAAGAAGCAATGCATGCTTACCTGTATAAAGAGAACAGGAATTTTAATATCTCTAATCACATTTCTTGTGCTGGATTTTGAATAAAAATCTTCTATAGCCCCAAAGCCATAAGATACCATAGATATTGCTTCTTCAAAATCACGTACAGATGTTGCCAGCAAAGCCTTTTCGACATCAAAACCTTTTGTTTTGCCTTGGAATAGTGCCTACAGAATTAGTGAGTTTTCAGCCAAAGGTTTCACGGGACATCCTAATGAAGGTCAGTTAAAAAAAGGGGAAAAGGTGGGTGAAAGTTGAAAGCAATTAATTTACTTTATTGGTCCGCAGAATATCTATCAATCCACCAGTGAGCTTTTGATCAGTAACAATGTGATAAGGAGAGGACCTCGTAGCCTCATCTAAATCAAAAGGATTGTCTATACATGTGGCAGCCGTCAGTGGAGTTCTTTCCCCAACCTCTGCCAGGTATTTTGTCAGCATGTTTGCACCGTATCCCCAGCCGACACCCATCAAGGTTGTCCACGGCCTTGCCTTGTTGATATATGTTATAGCTGTGCAGATATCATCGCTGTCAGCAGCTGTAAATAACCTACAGAAAATAAAGTACTTAAGAAGTCCTTACCATTGTCTTATCTTTCCCACAAGTCTCCAAAGAATATAAAAAGTACTCCCAGTCCATTATATAGAAATGACCAAATTCCCATTCCCTAAGACCCTAACCCACCATCATCTTCACTCCAAGAGGCAACATCCTCCTATCATTCACCGGAGAACCACAATACTATAACTATGAACTAAGAAGCATCCAATGTCACAAATAAGATACTACTCCACATTATTTTTTCACTACACAATGAATATATGACAAAGTCGATGCAATATACCATACCATTTAAGCACGAAAATTGAACACGGTGTGAATAGTTTATTCTGAATTACTTGCAGCCTAATAAAAGAAAAAGAGAAAAAGAGAGAGGAGTGTTACCGGGGAGTGGTGAGAGGTGAAGAAGCGCATCCTCTGGGATTCATGACAACAGGGAAAAACCCTCTCTTGAGAGCTTCAATGACAAAAAGCCTTACATTGTAATCCATGCTCCCTTGGGGAGTACCAGGAACAAGCAAGAGAGTAGAATCCAAGCCACGCTCTTGTTCCAAATCCAAGTTTTCAGGCCAATCCAATGAAACCACACCTCCATCCGGTGCACTCACGCACACTCTCTGATAACTCAACTTCACCTCTTCCAAATCCCCCTCTCTCTTCTTATCAACCTGAATCCTCCCACGGTCAATGATGACGTAATGCGTCTCCTCCTTCACCAGCCTCTCGTTCCCATCCTGAAACGATATGGAAGGGCAACGCAGCAGCACGAAACGGTTAAACGGCGTCGGACTCGCGAACAGGATCCACTCACCGATATCCAAATCCAAATCCGAATCCGAATTATTGGGGGATTTGAAGCGTGACAAGTAAAGGGCGACACCGGAAGCGAATCCGAGAGCGGGAGTAATGAAATCAAGGGAATTAACGGAAGGGTATTGGGTGATTAAGCTCTGGAAGAGATTCTCGAAGGGAGTGGATGAAGGTGGCAGTGGCAACGAGGCTTTGATTTTCAGCCTTCGGCGTTTGTACACGCGAAACTCACGCGCTCGAAAGGGTTTACAGGGTAGAAAGGAAGTGAGGGTCATCACAAACATGATTGATGATGATAATGATGATGATTCGATTGTTCATCAACAATTGCAGAAAGTGCATGAATGATGAGAGAGTGCACATATCATCATATCATATGAACCGCGGGAACGCCTCAACGGACCAAATTCGATTGTCCGTTACTTAAAGGTTAACGTCAACCGTCTCACCTCCACCGTCTGTTACGATCACCTAGATTGCTCTTCTTCCGAATACTTTGATTTCTTTTTTTATTTTTTTCCTTATATGATATGTAATAAGTATAAATAGAAATTTACAAACTATTATTTTTTGGTGGTTAAATTTACAAATTAATATTCAGAGATATATTTAAGGAAATTAAAAAAAAAATCATTAGTCTCGAATACATTTATTTGTATCGATGTGTATGAATATTACTTAAGAGTATAAATGAGTTAAGCCGGTCTAGCTTATATTATGTCAAATTTGACTTATTGTATATAATCAAGTAGAACAAGTCTGGACTTTTAAAAAAATATTTAGAAAGCAGATAATAATTTTTTTTTTTTTTACATGCCCGACTTTTAAGCTTATAGAATAGCGTATATCATCTTATTTATTTTAAATAAAATTATTATTTAATGATTTTGAATATAAAAATAATATTATTTTAATTAATTTTTTAATTATTAAATGTTTAATAGAATTAAACACGCCTAGGCCAAAAAATTTATTTTTTAAATATAAATTAGGTCTAAACTTAAAATATTTTACACAAATATTCCGGCTTTTTCACCTTTTTGCCCCTCATTAATTAATTAATAACCATTTTGCCTCTGATTCGAAACTATCTACCAATCTGCTCCTCTTTAATCGACTACCTTGCATTTTTAATCGATTAAATGGTCAAAACAGGCAAAAATGACTGTTGGGAGATTTAATCGACTAAATCTCCCTATTTAATCGATTAAATCTCCCAACAGGCAACAAAGGAAAACAAGTCAGTATGATTTTTTAATCAATTAAGTAGGGAGATTTAGTCGATTAAATCTCCCAACAACCATTTAATCGATTAAAAATGCAAGTTAATCGATTAAAGAGGGGTAGATTGGTGAATAGTTTTGAATCAGGGACAAAATGGTTATTAATTAATTAATGAGGGACAAAATGATCAAATAATCCAAATATTTCTATTTAAATCAAAATCTAACTTAACCTACTATGAATTATTAGCTTATCTGCATATGATGCACTCCATTTAGTTATAAACCAGAATGAATGTCCAACGTGGAAGAATTACTACATTCTAGAACGTAAGAGAAAGGCCCAATTTCATATCTCATATTGGACCCATTGCTGTCCATGGTTTTCAAAAAATGTGTGAGATATTAATCTTCGTAAACCCGTTTTGAGACTATTTATAAATGAGGCCTTGCGAAGTTGTACCAGCCCATTTACCAATAACACGCACATTCTCTGCTTCACTTAGAATTAACCAATTAGGTATATAAGAAAAGAAAAAAACATATTTTAATATCCATTATTTGTCTTGTTTTTCGGTTATTCTAATAGGCATTCCTTGTCTTTCTGTATAAATGCAAAGTTTTTTACTCAAAAATTTGATTCCAGGCTGAAACTATTTTTCCTTGAAAACAAGAATATGGTAGAAGCTCTTCACACATGGGTAAGAACCTAGAAGGAGCTAAAAACTAGTAGCGTAGAATATAGATAGCTAGATTGCTATGTTGATATGATATTCGCACATGATGAGATGCTGTGCGCCTCCAACTGGAGAATCAAATTGCACCAAAACCGAAATTCAAATTATAATCATCTTGGTTTTGACCAAAGCCAATATTGCTTTTGCTTTCGATTTTCATCCAGTGTATTATTCTTTTATGTAGGTAACTAATATTAAGAACTGATGGGTAAGAAAAGTCAACGAAGAACACTCAATGTATATTTCTCAAGCGGAGTCCAATTCACGAATTCATAGATATCCATATTTTTCAGTGAACATTGTTATATGCCTAGTTGGTTGTACTATAAATTTCAAGGAGTCTAATGCTATCAAGATTTTATATTTTTATGACGAGGCATAAAATATGATTTATAATAAAGTTTTAATTTATGGTGTCCTGATCTCGTCAAACCCATGCTACGCTTGCATGGTAACGTGCAGTAGCTATTGGCCCATTTACAAACAAATTAATCATGCTGCCTTATTTCTATCTTGTTCTTTATTTTATTTTTTTTCCCTTAAAAAAACAGTGATACCGAATGAAAACATAAAAGATTAAATTTTCTTTCTCGCCGTAAAGAGGCAGAAGAGAAGATTCGGTAACCCCTCCTTCCAAAATAAATAAATAAACTCGAACCATATTATCTGAGTATCTTAATGTTCTCATGGTACGTATGCAATAACAACCTTCCCTTTTTGCAGTCTTGTGTAAAATAAACTAATGGGTAGTCTACTAGCTAGCTAGTCTTAATAATCGAAGTCCAAAAGCATTTTAGAATTTATATATGTTTATCTTGGCATGGGGAACTTAATCTTGGAGTATAGAGATTTAATTTTATGAATAAACTAATTTAATAAGTTAAATCTATGTTTGATTATTGAAATGATAATGACAAGGAATCCAAAGAAAAGATTGTCTCAACACAGTGCATGAAACCATAAAAAATTATCAGCATTTATCGCCAACAAAGCCCAGATTATCGGGTTTTTAATAATGCTAAATATGTGCAATCAGTCAGCACTTTGTAGCGACTAATTAATCACGAGCAACATGAAGCACATGGAGGGACTGCTAATCCAACAATGATCCCCATACCGATAATATACGATTCATCATTTGGTTCCCATATATGAAACCATCCAAAATTATCAGCATATATATCGCCCCTAAAGCTCAGATTTTTGGGTTTTTAATAAAGCTAAATATATGAAATCAGTCAGCATGTTGTAGCGATGTAGATTAATCCCCAGTAACATCAAGCACATGGGAAAGAGAATGCCAATTCAACAATGATCTCCATACCGATTCAGATTTTAGTTTAAAACATGCACATGCATGCTTCCCTCACTAAGAATGAGAAACCATACTTGATATTCTTGCCGTGTCTAGTTTCTATTTTCTTCAATCAAGTTTGCTTGTCTCTTTATACAAATACAATGTTATTTTATGTTCGCGGCATTAAGGAATAACTTTCTTTTCTTTTCTTTTTAATAAAAATGAGAGATCATGTATATATGATACAAATTAGAAGTGGCTTAAAGTAATTAGTAGATAATATCTTCAAAATGATAAGGTATTGCATCTCCAATTGGAGAATCAAGTTGCATTACGGTAAAAAATGAGGTTAGCTTCTGTTCACTGATATTTCTGACCAAAACCAAATTGTCCCCTAGCCTCATGGAGTTAAATTTTCAATTTTTATGTCAAATAAACTATCTCTATTTAATTGTATTTAGATAATAATTACGTGTAGTTTATCTAATTCATGAAATGGACAATCTTTTATACTACATTCAGAGACCTTTATAGAACGTGCGCATGATTGTCTCTTCTCTGAGATGCCTACTTATTTATGACTTTGACCTTTGTGCCATGCTCATGTTTTTCTTTTTTCATTGGTAAAACTATAAAGTGCCGACATAACTCGAAAAAATGCTGTAAGTTATTTGTAATTACCTTATGTATATTAATTAATCATTATTTGGAACTTAGTCATATATAAGACGACAAAATTCTGTTCGGCGATTGATAAGATGGGTTTTCTTATTATTATTCTCATGATTAAAGAAAAAAAGAAAAAAGCTTGCATTGTTTCATATTGTATATAAAATCATATAAAAAAAATTTGGTGTATAAATATATATATATATATATATATATATATATATATATATATATATATATATATGAATGCATGATATAATATGGTATGAATCATGCCTGTTGAGATCAATTTCTCCGAGCAATAAATGCAAAGATTGAAATTATAGTTAGTAAATGTTGAAAATATTATTTTTTGGTGAAATGCATTTTTCATTTTATTTATATACATTAGAAGTAGCTTATTTTTCTTCTATTGTTTTTTAAAGTGGGGATCCGTATAATTTGATTCTACATATTTTTAATGACGGAGCCAACAAATTTTTTTGAGGGAGGACACAATTATAATATAAATTTTTTCTTTAAAGTTATAACTATTTATATAAAAAAATATAAATAATACTTACAACTAGATATTTATGTAAGTTTTGAAGGGAATGGGTATTAAATATATGACAAAAAATTAGAAATAATATTTATTTCTGGAGGGAGAAAAGTATTGCATATATGAAATGTAGAAGAGTAACACAGCCGTTTGACACCTGCAAAAACATATATACTTATATTCAAGAAAAGGATGGTCACAGTTTATGTTTGAGGTTCATAGAACACCGATTGCAATTTGTGCGAAATTCACATGGCAGCGCATTAACCATGAGTATGAGTGTCACAATTTCATTAATCATATATATACCTACGACGGTTCAACCATATGTGATACGCTGAGTCCATGTGTTGCTCACATGGCTCTGCCCCCAGAATGCCGCGTGTCTCTATCAAGTATTATAATTTTTTTGAGCATCTCAACCCTTGTTTTAATTGTAAAAAGGAAATGGAAATAAAAAATTAAAAAGTAGAACTTCCTTTCTGAAGTAAGAAATACACCTGGACAATATAAAGAACTTTTTGTTTTGTAATTCCCATGTATATACACAGAGAGAGAGAGAGAAAAAAAAACCAACCCAAGGTAAGGATTCTAAAATCAGAAAAAAGTGAAGCAGCAATAGGGAGAGAGAATAAGCTAGTTCATCGCCATCAAGAATATTTCAAGCATGTAATAATTAACATTGTTAAGTAGCTTAGTATATTAATTGATAATCCATATGTGTTGGTTGAGCAGCATAATTTTAAATTTTTAAATACCTTACCAATAGAATAATTTGAATATAAATGCTTCCTTTTTTTCAACAGCAAAAAAAAGTGCTTCCTTTGGTATTCTTGCTAAATTTAAAACGAGAGGGTTGTTAGCATAGGTTGGCTGGTGGCAATTCTAAAGAGGGTAAGGTATTGTCTTTGTCTTTGTAACCCCAAATTTAAAATTAAAAGAAGAAAACAAACAATGTGGACTCGTGCTTGGAAATATTCCAGAGCGAAATCCAATTAATTTGCAGTGCGAATTGTTGATTAGAAAAGATAATATAGGCTAATAGGTTGGAGACCTTAGCAACATACTTGCACATGTCTGTCGCTTTCGGTGCCAAATGAGAAACAATAAAAAGGATAGTAGACTACTTCTAGCTGGAAGTTCAGTGTGACTGATAATTAATAAAAGACAACAAGTTAAACGATGAACTTGAACACCATGGGTGTAAAGAACACTTCAACCCAAAATCTTAAGATATTAAATGAAGACTTTTTTAATAGTTTATATTATTTTCTAACACATCCCTTCATGCAAGAGCTTGCTTGAAGCGTGGATATTGTATAGCCCAAATTTTTATTTTTATTTTACCTTATGCTTATTTAATTCCACAAGTGGAGTGGTCCCTGAAACTTTGATATCATGTAAAGAACCAATTCAACCCAAAACCTATGTTGGTTGAAAGTCTTATTAATGGTTTATATTATTCTCTAACATATTATGAGAGAGACAGAGAGAAACTTGGATCAAACGGTTTATAAATATTACATTTATCCAATTAATATTAAAAACCAAAGTTTTTAATTAAAATTTAGAATGACTCAAATATGTTTTTATATCTTTCATATTTCATAATATAACATGATGTGCTAAAAAGGAAGGAGGTAGACATGTTAATTTATGCATCAGGGATGATCTTTACCTCCGGTAATAAGGCTCAATTCGTTTGGAAATCCAAATTTAAAATTTTATGAGTGGTCTTTGATGACTAGTTTTAATCGGCACTTCGGTTTTGCTTCAATTTTTGGACTCTTCTTTAAACTACATGTTTCACGTTGCACGTGTGTGGGCCTAGCAGGTAAAGGCACTAATAAAACAACATATTCACGTAACAATAATTTTTGTACATTATACATTGTGAGCAAAGCCGAAGTTTTAAAATGTACACTTGTTCATCCAAAAAAAAAAAAAATGTACACTTAGGCGATCGAGTGCAGCATGAATATGATTAAATCCAAGAATTTGTATGTATATAAGTGAACAAAGAAGTTAAGAACGATACATGGTTACATGGTTTTTTCTGATCAAATTTAGAGAATATGGTTTTTTTTTTTTTTTAGATATATATTTTCACAATTCAACCCGGGTGTGGTAAAAGTCGAAAGTATTCCCAAGAGTATTTTATCAATAATAATCAAACTTTTAATATTGATGAGGTTCAAACAATTACTTTTAACCCATTAGATTGAGAATACGGTTTTTCAGATCGCATTTACAAAACTTATAACTTTTACAAATCATTTAAAGTCTCACTTTTTTCTTGCTTTTGATGATTTTATATATATACTCATTAATTGCACTTTGCATTATGGGATATGGTTTTATGCAAACAAAAAATGTAATTAAGAAAAAAATAAAATAGATAGCTAAAATATACATTTCAATTTCTTTTATTTAATTAAGTTGTACTATGATTACAGAAGAGTTTTAACTAAAGTGACATGAATTTCTTTTAAAATCTTATTAATCTTGGGATTAAATTTACTAAGATTCTTTTGCTTTTAATTTATCTTACTTTCCTTTTCCCATACTATGGTTTATAACAAAAACAAAAAACGGGACTTTAGAATTTTTCTTTTTTAAGAAAACTAAAAAAGAGCTCCTTAAAACCAAGGAACTTAATGGGGCCTTACGTTATGTTAAAATGATTGCTTTTCATTTTTGGTTATAATAAAACTATATAAAATTTATAAGAGCAAAAAAGTCAGACGCTAAATGGGGAAAAAATACATGTCCTAAAAAGATTTAACTCCGTAAAAAGTTCAGCCGGTTAAGTTCTGAATTATCGAGACTTAAAAAAAGATGTCTGAATACCAAAGGTTAAAAAATACGTGGATTGAATCATGTATTACCTACCATAACCATATTATATAATAGAATCTTAATTGTATAAGGGTAGTTAATGATAATAGAGAAGAGAGATAAAAAAAAATTAAGAATACAAAATTATAAAATTATCACTATTAATCTAATTATTAATAGTTAAAATTCTATTATATGACATGATTACGTTAATTAACTTATGTTTATCATGTAACATGATATAACATCACTTTCCTACACACATATTAAAGAAGTGGGGTCCACATGTTTTTCTTTCTCTTTCATCATTCCACTTTCTCTCCATTTTTGTGTGTGTTGGAAACAACACTTAAATCATGTAACATAACACTAATAAAACCCATTAACATATAAGAGGATATATTTCAAAAAAAAAATAGAAGAATAACATATCAGTTAATAAAATAACTCATTTTTAACGTTTAGTTTATAAAAAAAATTACTTTTCCGTAACCTATTGAATATTCGGAAAGACACAAACTGAGCACAAAAATACACAGAGAGCAAAGTAAACGAAAATGAAAGAACTTTAGCAAATGGAGGTTCACAGAATCACAGTTGGTCTTGTGAAACACAATTCACGCCAGAGCCCAAACGCCAAAAACACTTAACCGTTTGACCCTTATCTCATATTCTTATATAGAACTTCCACCGGGCCCCTCTATTGCAACCCTTTTTCCATCTCTCTGACCATTTTACCCCTCTCTCTCACCCCCTTTATATACGAGCCTTCCCTGCAACTTCCCTTCCCACATGCAACTTCTCTCTCTCTCTCTCTCTCTGAAACTTCATATTTCAATTTTCATTCAAGTTATCTGACATGGCAAAAGGTGGGAAGCTAACAAAGCTGAAGTCAGTGCTGAAGAAATGGAACTCATTCGGAAACGGCAACAGCAAGCACAGCCGCCACAGCATCAACGCCGTGGCCGACGACGACTCCTCCTCCGGGTCGGACCTCCGCCCCGTCTACGTCGGAAAGTCACGCCGCCTCTACCGCGTCCCCTCCGACGTGGTGGACCACCCCGCCTTCCGGGAACTCGTGGAGAGGTCCCGCGAATCCGACGACCAAAACAAACACGACACCATCAATGTCGCGTGCGAGGTTGTCCTTTTCGAACACTTGCTCTGGATGCTCGAAAATGCTGATCCACAACCCGAGTCACTCGACGAACTCGTCGACTTCTACGCCTGCTAGCGCACAACTCACAACATCACCACTATGCATTCAAAAAAAAAAAAACATATATTATTTCTATTTATACCTTATACTTTCCTATTAGTGACTGTATTTTATTTAGTAGTAATAATAACTAACATTAATAAGGGAAGCGAGAGAGAGAGAGAGAAAAAAAGTGATTCACATCATTGATTTGTACGTATGTGGCACGGTTCTTCTTCCCATAAGTTAAATTTCCTTGCTGTACATTTTTTTTATTTATTTAAATGTTATCAATAATTTTGATTAGTTTAGATATTTGAATGGTTGAGTTGTCGAGTTGAGCGTTGGATACTCCAATGTAATGAATGGGAAATTGTACGCAATGTAAGAGGTTGTTCATTTCTTCTATACAGGGACAATGTCTTGTTTAACCTCTGAAACAAAAGTGTTTGACAATGTAATAATGTGAAATGGGATATCATCAAACATTTTCGTCCATGAAGCATATGTTACAGTGAAAGCTTTAATTTGGGAACTTATTTATGAGATACCCAATGTGGATCGATGTTTGGTTATAACAAAAGAGCATTATTGGAATTACCAACAAATTTGGTCCGTGGGAGGGCCATTACTAATTGTAGAAAATGGAAGTTGAAATGGTGGCTACTTTCCCACTTGCTACACCCTTCCCTGGATTAAACAAGAAGATTCCACGAGGCTTTAGAAATTGATTGATTAGCCCCTGGTGGGGTTCCATTACATGATGCCACACTTTGCCTCACTACATTCACTAGTTACATCACCTACAGTTATATTTTTTTTTTCCTTGGAGAAACATCACCTACAGTTATTAGAGACAATGTAACATGCCTCGTGTACTAAATACAAACACGGCCTATCCAAGGATTCTGTATGCTGGCCTAATATTGCAATTGATTCTTCTGCTTTCTCTTTCACATGTCTGTGAATTTCCCACTGTTAAAAATAGTATCACTAATATTCCCCAGTTTATTCAACCAAGATAGTCAATTCACTCAATTGTATAGTTGTGAAATAAACCGGCGTCATCATTTTTATTTGACATTGATGAATGTACGTCCTCTGCTGGCCAAAATTCTGAAAATAGCATTAATTACTAGCTACTACACTAAAACATTCATTGATTGGACGAGTAAATAAAATTATTAATCTTGGTTGTTGGCTGGGGTAGAGAACATAGAGATGCATCTGAGCCACATACAATACGGAAAAATATACTTTATAAAACAAACCCTGCAGCCAGTAGTAGCTACAGAAAAAGTTCATATTCCGAGACAGCAATGAAGTCAACCGCTTTTAAGGACGCAGGCACCAGAAAGGAAAGGAAAGCTTGTGCATTCAAAAAGTTGATGAGATTATTATAATACAGGGGGTCTTAAATATTTTTAAAAATGCTTATGAGGAAGATATATATAGTTATATATATACTATCTGCAAGAGATACGAATATTTTGTTTTTGAATACTAATGATTAGGTAGTTAGAGATGCCTTTGATTTGCCAAATACAATAACGCTCCCTGTAGGAATTTGTTGGTTAGTGAATGAAATAAAATAAAATAAAATAGAGCTTTTCGTTAACTTGATTGAGGACTTTAGATTGGGGATTAATTAAGTGGATGACACGAAAGTCGTTTACTACACGCATGAGTATGAAACGCGTTGCCTAGCTGCCATTGCCACCCACATAAAGGCTTTGTTGAATTAGTTCCCCACGACAAATAATATTGGTAAGGTATGAAAAGCGAGTTTGTATTTAAAATCAATAAAATGGGGTGTTTAATTTTTAAAGTTTAGTGAATTAAAATAATATTGTTCTTCAAATAAAATCAATGTTAAATACACTATAATTTGCTCATTTTAAACAAAAAAAAAAAATGGCAATTTTTATGGTGGCGCACATTGCAATACAACAATAGTTGGCACGGTACGTCTTTGTTTCTCTGGAAAAGGTTTAGACTTTTGAACTTTTAAAGAACACAAGGAGGAGTTGAGCAGTCTGCCAGCTATAGTTTATCTTTATTGTCTTAGAAGATGTAGAAGTAAACATCCACCTCCTACTATTAGAATACTCTCAAAGGAAAAGGAAAAGGAATAAAGAATTAATAGAAAGGAAGATGAACATAAAATAAAAGGAAAAACAGAGTAGGAAGACATCGGAAGAAGGGATGGAAGGAAATGTTACTTTCGTTTATTTAATAGTGATCAGTAGACTATTCTTTCATTCTTTGCATTTGTATATATTACTAGGGATCTTTAAGGTGCTTTTCGGGTATGATAAAATTTTTAATTTATACAATTGAATGTGTATTAAATCAACTGTAATATTAAAAAATATTATTAATGCGGGGGATTGTGATAATCTACAAATTTGTTGTGACACACATTTAATGGTACAGAGGAAGAAAATTCTCTTATTTCAGGAGTATATGTTTGTGAGTTCCATAAATTTCTCAACTAAGTCAATATTCCCAAATATTTGGTAGACTTGGGCTTACCGTTAATAAAGGATACATATAACGTTTTAATTAGTGTAGTTAAACTTTTTTTTTGAAAATATTTCAATCGGTTCGTCACTTCACGACTAGTTCAATTTGGGACGAATTCAGAATTAAGGCTTTAAATTCTTTTCAAAAGTAATACTGGTGAGAGTGTAATTAAACTTTATATTCAAATAGTTGAACACTAAAGTGAACAAGGGAAGCTGGACCAAACTAATATTTTTCCAATTTTTTTCTCAACCTATATCGTTGAACAGTTGTAAGAATATCATTTGATAATAAAATATTCATTAGATAATTTATGAGAAATAATGACTATATCAACTAACAAATTCTATTTTATTTTAATTCAGATTGATCCAACAAACACTCCTACAAGGCTACAACGGAATGCCTTCCACTCCAGTACACGAATTCATAGGCCTGTGTAAATCTGTTTTCAAAATAGTTTTTGATTTTTGTTATGTCCTAAACATAGAGATATCTAACCCAATGAATTAGTATATGTTTATGTTGGATTTAAGTGTTCCTTCTAAGATATCTATGAGTTAGATACTCTTAAATTTAGCAGATCACTATGCACAGAAGAATAACAAATAGATTTCGCTAAAGGAATAGTGTGTGTGCAGTAACTGTATAATAGTAAGAGAGAGAATAATCATATATATAGGTTTTACCTCCTATTTATAGAGTTTACATGTGGGTATTGGATTCTGGACATTCTGTGCTTCTACCAGTAGCCCAAACTCATATTTAATGCAATCGTATTAGGATTGATATCCTTGATGGATATCCTCCATTAATTATATCGGATTTATATTTAGATTACCCCTTGTTGGACTTAGTGATAAATGTGTCTCATATATGAGTCCATAACAATTTAAAAAAAAAAATGTTTGATAAGGTCTATTTTATAAAAATAATTCTAAAATTTATAATTATTTTTTAGCTTCTAGAATCAAATTTAGAAATATATTTGAGTGGATTTTATTTTGTGTTTTGACTTTTAACCTTCAAAATAAAATAAAAATATAAAAAAAACTTATTTCATTAATTATTCTATAAAATAATTTTAAGAACAAAATAAATAAAATATAGAGTAAAAATTTTTTTGGGTCCCTAACAAAAAACACAGTTCCCACTTAAGTCTTTTACAAAAAAAAAATTAGTCGGCTAATCCCTATGAAATTCAAAGTGGACCCATTTTAGTCCTTTTGAGGGACTAATATGAGTCTTTTTTGAATTTGTGAGGGACCACGATTTCAACTAAATGGGTCTACTTTGAATTTCTTAGGGATCTCGAGACTAATTTTTTTTGTAAGAGACTAAAGTGGGACCGTATTTTTTGTTAGGGACCAAAAAAAGTATTTAGTCTAAAATATAATAAAACGGACCCATCATTTCCATTCGGATCCAACTATTGCACTTCGCACACTAAGGGTGTGCATGACAACCTTCTCGGAATTTTTTTTTTTTAATTTCTGTTCCCGAGAACAGAAATAGATAGAAAACTCGTTTAGTAAAATCAGTTTAATTTTTTGTTACCGGGATGAACCGATTTAATTTTTGTGCTGAAGAATAGACAAAAGAATAAAAAAAAATCTGTTTTTTTGTTCCCGGGCACAAAATGAGAAACACTTATTTCTTTCAATCATTCTCCACCACTATCATCATCATCATCATCATCACCACTACCACGACAATGTCATTGCCCCCACCACCACCATGCCACCGTCATCACCACCATCACCACCGCTTCCACCACCACCATCGTAACCACTACTGTCACCGCCACCATGCCCATCACCACATCATCGCCACTGCTACCACGCCATTGTCACCAACCACCACCACCATCGCCGTAGCCACTGCCGTCACCGCCACCACCATGCCATCACTACCACACCACCATCACCATCACCGCCACCAACCACCACCACCATCGTCGCAGCCACTACCATCACCATCGCCACTACCACCGCCACCATTACCACCATTATTGCCGCAACCACTGCCGTCACTACCACCACAACCACTGCCGCCGCCATTATTGCCACCACGCCACCGCCACCGCCACCATCACCAACCACCACCACCATCTCCGTAGCCGCTGTCGTCACCATCACCACCATGTCATCACCACCATGCCACCACTGCCACGCCACCACCAACCACCGCCGCCGCCACCACCGTCACCACCACCACCACTATCATCGTCGCAGCCACTACCTTCAGTACCACCACTGCCGCCACCACCATCGCCACCATTACCACCACCACGCTGCCACTACCGCCGCCGCCATATGGAAAGGAAAGTGATGATCCGAAAAAAATTATGCTTAATAGGAAATTTTGTTATTACATTATTTGTTGTGTTATCAAACGCAATTCTCATTCTCAGAATTAAAATAAAATATGTTATCAAACATTTTTTTTTCTCCCCAAGGCACAGAAATAGAAAAGAATTGTTTCTTTTCATAAATAATGCCAGGGAACAAAATAGTTGTCATGCACACCTTAAGAATAAAAAAGAAGTGATTCTAAGTAGCATATCTGTTACACTTTTTATAGTACCAACTAGTTTAGAAGAAAAGAAAAATAGCATTAAAAAAATTAATGTCTCTTATATTGTAGGAGATAAT